GCTGAATATTTTGTATTATGGATAAATGGGGCTGTTGGCAAATCTGCATCTGCAGTTCAGTAGTAAAGAAACAATTCCAAAATTTAACAAAATTAAAAAATCTCATCTTGACAAACAGTTGCAAAGATTGGTTAAATAAGCAATATAGAACAAAAGGTTTGGAAGAGATGTCTGACTTGAGTTTTAATCTTCTAACTCTTGATTTTTAAGTTTTCAAACACATACCCAAGCTACATGTTGTATGGAGAGCTGGTTTGCATACTTAATGTATCTCTGCTTAATGATATCTCATTGATCTTTATTATAAGGTTACAAAAACTGTCTAATGTCTTTTTATATACTATTTTGGCTTGATCCTAAATGCCTCTGTTTTATTCCAGGGAGCCTTTCATCATTCTCTCAGGGGGCTTGTCATATGACACTGTAGGAAGAAGACCCTGTTTAACAGTTATGCATGGGAAAAGTACTGCTGTGCTAGAAATGGATTATTCTATTGTTGATTTTCTAACCCTCTGTGAAACACCATATCCTAATGGTAGGCTCTGTAAAGATTTTTCTCAGTACTTCAACCTCTTCTCTCTGGAGTTTAATCCCATCAGAATTTTTTTTACTCTTGCCTTTCTGTTTTATCTCTGGGGATTAGACTGCAGCAGCAACATCTGTTATCCCTATTGTCTGAAGTCTGTTTTGCTTCCCAAAGTATCACAATAGAATAGTTTATTATAAAACTTATTTTGCTTCTAAAAGTATGCTGATTACTAGTTGCATGTCTTTTTTCCTTTTTTAAATCCCCAAAGCACGTGCAGACAAAAAGTAGCACTATAATTTTAAGCTGTAGTTACTGCACCAGCTGTGTTCATTGATATTTATTCAAGCATGTAAGATCTTTCCAGTCAATGCTAAATCTTGATTAGTGTTTGTGTAGTATTTTTAACTTTTAGTGGCTTTATTCATTCCAATACTCACATGAAGTTAATCACTAACCTGTCATCTCCCTTGTGCAGCAGGGGATTTTTTTATCATAGTTAAAGTAGTTGTCCCAGATTAATAATATTATACTTATGACGACTCTAGTGATTTTAGCTGTTAACTTCCATCAGACTATATAAAACTGCTTAGCTCAGAATTTGAGGTCTGCCTGAAAGAGGGCAAGACAAACTTTGGAAACTCTTCCAGTTTTCTTATTTTAGTGTCAAGTTGGCTGTCTTTCAATCCATTTTGTAAGCAATTAGAATTTAAACCCCACTGAGTATGAGGAAAAGCAGTTTGGGGGTGGGAGAATGTTATTGTTCAGTACTTGGCTCTTTCTCAAAAGTACGGCTTCTACAAGTTCCTCTTATTTGAGCTGTTTAAATGGTTCTAGCAAATTGGAAGAGTTGAATATTGAGTTAAAGGGAGAGTGTGGCTTTTTCAAACTTGGAGTATTCAGGGGGGGTGAGTGTATAAAATATCTTCAGAAACTGTATAGTCATCTAAGTGGCTTTTCTACTTTCAACTGATAGAGTGCAAGGACTGATCACATTCTTGAGGCTGTGCATGCAAGAACTACATTTACCAATAAGTAACTTTTTTCTTTCTTGTTTTCAGACTTTCAGGAACCATACGCTGTAGTTGTTCTCCTAGAAAAGGACTTAGTACTGATTGACCTTGCACAAAATGGGTAAGAATCTTGTGTAGTCTTTTGTAATGGTTGGGTCCAGTGGTCAGCCTACTGTTCTGCTCTATAGCTTTTTAATCTACCATAATACCTCCCTGCCCAGAACATAAAATTTTGAGTATTAAATGTAAGATTTCTTCAGCAGAACTGAGAATCTTTATAGATCAATTTTTCTCAAGTTAATATGTAGAAGATGAGTAGAATATTATGCAACTCTTTCCAGGTTTGATTGACCGACAGAAATTACTCATACATCGCTGCTTCTTTTTAATTATCACAGTTTATTTTGAAGTTGATTCCTTAGTGCTATGAGGGGAGCTCAGAATTTTGGGGAAGGGAGCAGGGGGAACAACTGTTCAGATAAGCCAGGTAATTCTCACTGATGCTGAGTGTTGTTGTCATCACTTAAATATTTGCTGATTTTATTGCCAAACGAATTGCTATCTGTATTGCATAAAGTAACTCAATACTGATGCAATAAATACCATATACATAAAAGTAGAGTGGTAACATCTACTCCCTGGTTTACTACTGTGGTAAGAGGTTGCTTAAAAGTAGTGTCCTGTTAACAGTTTCCACAACTAATGCTTGCCTAAAACATTTTTAGTCTCTTGTTACTTTGTCCATGGAACAGTCCGTATATTCTGTTAGGTGGTGAGCTGGATCCAGCATCTTTTTTTTTATCAAGGGTTTTGAAGTTAGTATAGGCAGCAACGACTAACTATTAAGGGATTAGTAGTTAGAGGAATCTGATGGATAAGATCTTTGTAGTGTTCCTGATTAAAAGTCACCAATGGTCAATGAAGAAAAAAAAGCCTTCTGAAGAACATCCTTCTAGGGCAAAACAAAAACCTGTAAATACGTATCCTCAAAGTCAGTGATGATACCTGAGATAATAACGACTCTATCAAATTTGGAAGAAGGTCAAGTTTAGTACCTATATCTCTGCAGCTAGTGAGCAATTTCTTTTAAATTTTCCCTATGTTACATGGCCATATGCTGTATCCAAAACTTGTTTCTGATATACCAATGGTATTAAGCTTCCAACATTCATATGTTGAAAGATTAATAAAACAAGTTTTAATGAGCTTGAAATAAAAAAGTTTGTGCAAGGCTTTTTTCTTAAGTGAAATGGTTTACAGTGTCTGAAATTTGAAGTTATGTTAAGGTTTGTTCCATTTCATGTTAAAAAATCTTCAGCAGTTACATTTTTAGAAGATTTATAATGGTCTTTGTTATGATTGAACTGCAAAGTATTAATTGTTTCACACCTGAAAAAAGCAACAAAATTAATAGACTTTTGCTACAGGAGGTTTCATTTTGCCCTGTGTTACATGGATTTATTATATTTTGTTAAAATTGAGCCTTGTTTTTCGTGCAATTTTTAGGTAATTGTTTTAGGTTCCCAGATAGCTCTCTATAAAGTTATTGGTATGCAGAATGTTTTCATCTGTTGTTGCTAAGTTTTCCTTAGCTGGGTTGAGAAGCTGTGTCCCTTTTCGCCTCTCAAAAAGAAAAAAAGAAAAAAGCATAGGCGTAGTATGCATTTCTTTGGAGATAAATGTTCTTTGAACACAGATATATTTACCTCTATTATTATTGGCTTTTTTCCTTATTCAGGCCCTGTCACTTTTCTGATGGAGGTGGTGGTGGGGAGTATACATGTGTGTGTGTTTGCTTCTAACTGGTAACTGAGTGTTGCTACCTGTAAACTTTCAGAAAGTGATCTTGGAGTTGCAAGTAGGTTATGAAAAGTGTTGGACAACTTTCTGTCTAAGAACAGTATAATAATACAGTGAGAAGTGGAGTCTTCCTGTCTTTCTTCCTGAAAGAATAGACTGAAGAGTTAGAAATAAATTCGTAGCTCCACATTACTACAATTAGGACTTGGTAACTTCAGTTTTTCCACAGACCATTAAAATAGTAAGCTTTTAAAAATATAAAACTATAGGGAATAGCAGTGTTCTAGAAATATTCTAGAAACAGTACAAACTTCAGGTTCCATCTAGAGTACTACAGTATCTTGATAGTGTACTGGATGAGCAGTAAAGTTGCATAGTATATTTATTCATAATCTAATTTGATATGCATTTGTTTTCCTCTATACAAAAAGAATGCAAACGTCTTCAGTGTTTTACTTGTGTTCTGCATTAAAAAAAAAAAAAGTTTTTCCCAGATTAACAGTCGTCTTTCATCCATCGAAGGTACCCTATATTTGAGAATCCCTATCCTTTGACTATACATGAATCTCCGGTTACCTGTTGTGAATATTTTGCTGATTGTCCTGTGGACCTCATACCTGCACTCTATTCAGTTGGCGCTCGACAGAAACGTCAAGGCTACAGTAAGAAGGTACAATATCTAATACATACATATGTATTTGAAAATACTGGAAATCAACAGCTCTAAACAACGAAAGAGTGGCCATACTAAGACCAAAGCTCCATCTGACTCGTTATCCTGTCTCCGGCGGTAGCAAATAACAGATGTCTAGAGAGGATATAGCATATGGCAAGCCTATAGTCATGCTTTCCTCATGTGTTCCTATCGATTGCCATATCTCTGGAAGCTAAGGGACTTCCTGGAGCCAGGGGTGTTTTTTATAGCCCTTGATTTCCAACCCACCCCCCACCACTTGCAGTGGACATGTCTAATTACTTTTTGAAGACATGTGAAATACTGGAATCTGCAGTATCTGCAGTAATTTCAATTGCTTAATTCTGCACTGTATGATATTTTCTTCCTCAATGTATTTGTTAATCTTCCAGGAATGGCCTATCAGTGGAGGCAACTGGGGTTTGATCACTCAGAGCTATCCAGAGATAATTATTACAGGGTAAGTGACACCATAGTGTAGTAATAACTTCCTTGGCTGATTAAGTAGAAGTGAGAATATTTTGTTCCTCTTATAGAAAACAATGTTCTAACAGTGGTTTGAATGATTTAAGAAATTATGTTCACCAGACAAGTCATTTGCATATTCTTGAGGCATTAACAAGAAAGAAAAGCAAAATGTGGAAGAGAAGGTAGGAACAAAATGATAGCAGATGTTTTACCAGGATTATTATTATGATTTGGTATTGTGATTATGTCTGCTTGCTATCAATATATCCTGGATGAAAATTATCTTTTATTTTTTAACTTTTAGAAAATATTTGAGTAGTGTTTATAATGCATAGGAGGTCCATTAAATAGTTATCGAGTTCAGTTCTCAAAGGGAAGCCAAGTTTTTTATTTTAAAAATGACAACCAAATACTTAAATCTGTTTGTTTTGATCTCTTTTGAGACTGATCCTTTTAATATTACCCTAAGGAGTATAAATAAAACTTAATTTATAACCGTGCAGTGCATCACTGAAAGTGAGAGCGCTACTGAAGTTTTTTCATTAGCCCTAATGAGGATTACTGTCACTTTATACTACACATTGCAGAGGCTTTCAGAGACAGTCCTGAAAAAATCTAGTCATCTGATTCTCAATTTCAGCGATAAATAAAAAAGTTGTTAGGTGACTCATTTACACTGAAATACAGTATATTTAGGCATCTCCTTTACAAGTGTCACTCCAAATAAATGGCGTCTTTTAAAAAACAACACATGGTAAGGTATACCAAACTGCTTATGGGAAATGCAGGTAACTGAAATCAGTACTTAAAATGATAAATTAGTGTTAGTACAGTGGAATTTCAGGGAGTTAGCCTCCAAATGTTTTTTTTTAATCTGTTCTGTCTAAAGTAATTGGGGCACATGTTTGTAAAATATTGGCTTCTAATAAATTGTGAGAATAGCGTCACTAAGAATACTAATAAAAATAGAATGTTAGCCATATATTTTCTAATGAGTAGGAAAGAGGTCTAATACTCCAACTAACCACTTTACCATCTTATTAATTTTTTAATATTCCATAGGCATGCTGATGGGTCAATCAAGTTTTGGGATGCCTCAGCAAGTAAGTGTTTTCAGTAGAGATTTTTTTTTTTCCTGTGCAGTAGGAGTTTTCTAAACTTACTGATTTCTCTAATGGAATATAATTGCAGACTAGTCATTCTCATTATTTTCTGCATCATGTAGAGTCAGTAACTCCATAGGAAACTTTGATTTAAAATTAAATAAAACTAACATTATTAGTTAGTTAATTGCTTCACTGTTTTTACCCCCTCAGTGAAAATGCACTGGTAGTCCAAGGGCCAGCTAGAATGGAAGAGTTCTAAATTTTTTTTTTTTTTAAAGTACCTTCCAGAAGCACGTTATTGAGCATAGAGATGCATGACAGGCAAATGCATTCCTTTTTAGTACAATTGAATTTCAGTAAGTTATTTCTGTCTTTATAGACATGAGAGAGGCATGTGTTTATAAGACATCAGCTCCCCATAAATTACAGTATCTAAAAATGAGACTTGGAACCAGTAGTAGTTTGTGCTAATAAAATGATTTAGGCATTTGTGAAGAAAGGCAGGAGAAAAGTAAAATAAAAACACTTTCTTTGGTGGAACACTGAACAGGCCTGAAGAGTCTGATCCCATTTTATAGCTCTCTTCAGTTAAAGAGTGAATTGCATCTGATGGTCTACACAGCTAACAGTGAGAAATGCAGTAAGAATTCAAGTTAGAATGGACTATACAGAGTTAGATGTTTTAATTCATCTAGTTCTTACTAACCGTACTCTTGGTACTTAAAAGCTGTCTGAAGCAATCTTGGAATCATTATCAGTTGTCTTTGAAAACTTGTGGAACACCGGTGAGATTCCAAAATGCTAAGGGGTGTGTGGGTGTGGGAAGGAACAGATGCAATGTATATGTTTTAAAAACTGGGAGGAGGAGTATTTGGAGTGTTATAGATCTTTAATTTCAAGTTTGGGGTGTGTGTGGAAGCAGGGGGGAGGGGGGTGAGAAAAGGGGAAAAAAACCCACCCAAACCTGATTGATTTTGTGTGCTTAAAAATTCTTTTCAGTATAGATCTGTCAAAAGGAGGTCCTGTTAAAGACATTTAGTTTCTTTCTAAAACAGACAAATAAGCCTGCTAAGGGATAAACTGCAGGTATCCTGTGTCTTGATTTTTAAAACTTTTAAATCTCTCTAATAGCACAGTCTTACAGATGAACTAGGGAAATGTGATTCAGGTAAAAATGTTGAAATATGGAAGAGGACAAAGGATGATATGAATCAAACTTTCCTAATGATACAATTAGTATTTGTAGCAGTGATTTGGGCCATTGACTAGAGGATATATCTGTGAAGTTTGAACACAACACCAAGACAGTTGAAAGAAAATGTAAGAAAGAACTACAGTTGAGAATGATATTGCTATTTATTGAATAGCATCCAAGACCACTTATTTGAATATAGGATCAATGACTTACACTCAGAACTTATGGTTTGGTCAAAAAAAAAATTGGAGGTCTAATGGATTGCAGTGTCAGTGTTGCACAAAAAAATAATCTTTGGTATAAATAAATGGGAATATCTGTAAAACGAACATGGAGTAACTCTTTCACAATTTTAAACTGTGGCAAGGCCTCACTAGAACAGTTCTAGGAAATGTGCTATCAAGAAAAATGTGGACTGATCAGAGGGCAGCACTTCTGAATGATCAGACAGCACAAAATAAAAATTGGAGGACCTGAGGCTGTTAAGTCTGAGGCACAGGTGAGAGGCCATGGATTTGAAATACCATAAGGAGAAAGGAAAGGAGCTTCACCTTCTCTGCCATAGGTAGGCTTAAGTTGTGAGTATGGTATATGTAACTAGATGTTATTGTTAGAAAGAGATCCCAAAGTATAGTTAAGCCTTGAGAAGCTGTGAGGGCTTAGTTTATAACTGAAGCTGAGTATATATCTCAGGAAAAGTGGTGGTGTTTGGTGTGGTGTCTGTTGGTTTTTTGTTTTTTTAATTGTACTAACTGATCCTGCATTGGGCAAGTGATGGCAGAGCCAACACAGATGTTCAGTGCTTCTGCTCTGCCCTCTTTTGTTGAATATAGTGGCTTTATGAAGAGAAGTTTCTAAGTAAAAAAAAATTAACAAGAGAGAAATACCTGTTTAGATGAAAACTAATTTTTATCTCTTTTGGTTTGTTCCTAGTAACGCTGCAAGTACTCTATAAGCTAAAAACAGCCAAAGTATTTGAAAAATCACGGAATAAAGATGACAGGCCAAACACAGATATAGTAGATGAAGATCCATATGCTATTCAGATCATCTCATGGTGTCCAGAAAGTAGAATGCTGTGCATAGCTGGAGTTTCTGCGCATGTCATTATTTACAGGTTCAGCAAGCAGGAAGTGACAACAGAAGTCATTCCGGTAATTAGTATAACCGTTTTCTAACTTTGTAGGATTTAGCTATATTAGAACTGTTTTAGCAATTTAGTTCCTCATTGTCTTTCATTTTACTAGTGAAATGGACAAAAACAATTGCCTCAAAATGAAGAGGTATATTTTTGCGGAGGAAAAATAATAAATTATGAAATTCGGCAAAAGTGAAAATTGCGCAAATAGGTTTTGGTTTTCATTGGCTTTTTCAGGTTTTGCAGCCAATAACAGTTCTTTGTTCTATCTATCTAAGCAAATAGCAGATCAAAACTTGGCTGTATCAAAGGTAAAATTAAAACAAAAGTGAATGAGAGATGGAGTTGAATTTTCAAAGCTTTTAGGGACTTGATTCAATTTTTTTTCCTTGATTCCTAATAATTACCATCTGCCTTGGCAAAACTTCTGCAGTATGCAGAGCTAGAAGAATAGAAGCATGCTAGACATGCCTTAAGGTCTGCTAAGGACTTTACTGTGTCACAGTTTTATTCTGGATAAGGTACAATGACTAGTTCTATTACAAGAGTTTGAGAAGTCCTTTGTTAAATCAGACACACACATGCAATTTTACTTATCTAAATGTACGAGCTGAAAGCTAACTTGAAGCCATTTAATTATACAATATCGTATGTTCTGAAAAAGCATTAATCATAATGTAGTTGGTTTTTTTTCTCTCTCTTTCACCCCGCCCCCCTTCTGCCCCTTTCAGGTAAGTCTTGGTATAAGGAGATGAGGCATTTTTTTTCCTTCTGGTGTTTACTTATGTACAAGTACATTCCCTTCAGAGGGGATGTTTTTTTCTAAATTATTTTTATAAAGCAGCCCCTAGGAAAGTATTCTTCAGTACTAGGAATGCTTTAAAAAATACTGTATAGCCCTTTGTTTCAGTCCATGAGTTAAGTTCTACTTTGCAGGTGATGAGAATAAAATAGCAGAAAACTTTCTTTACACTGCACTACAATTAATACTAATATTGCTATAGACCCAGCAGAAGGAAATCTGAAATCATGATGAACTTGCAATTCTTTAAAATGTATGGTCTAGTTCAGTGCAACATTAAACATTGAACTAAGTCCCATGTGTACAGTGCTACAACAGTATAAAGCATAGCTGTCTACATGCCTTCAGCTCTTCTTAGTTTTAGCATTCCTGAACTACATAAAACAAGTTGTCATTATAACTGAGAATTTATTATGTGCATAGAATGATAATTAAATGGGTCTTGTATCTACTATTTAATTTATTTCCAATGTTAAGCAGCAAACTTTAAATATTGAAAAATAGGTTAGATTTTCATGTTTTAACAATCTTCAGATATTCAGTCTGTAGTAGTTAGTATGACTCTGTATTTCTGAAGATCACGTGTGTGTGTTTAGGTTGTGCTGTTCATTAAGCTACTGTTATCTTTTAAAAGATGGAAAAGTCCTGGATGTCGCTTTAATCATTAGTATCTTCAGTTGCACTTCATTTATTTCATATATAGTTTTTTGAAAGGCAGAATTACTGATTTTTTTTTTTTTTCCCCCCTCTCATTTACAGATGCTGGAAGTACGTCTGTTATATGAAATAAATGATGTTGAATCTCCAGATGGTGAGCAGGTGCCACCTTTGCCAACTCCAGGCACAGGTTCCAATCCTCAATCCATTGTTCCCCAGTCTCATCCATCTACTAGTAGCAGTTCATCGGATGGACTTCGTGATAATGTCCCATGTTTAAAGTAATTATATTCCGTTATACTTTTGTTGAGTGTGAAACTTTACAAGAATATGTGATGAGAATGTATGTACTTTGATATTATTTCAGAAACGTCATTGTTGGTAAAATGTTTTATTTCTTAGAGCAACATTTTCCAAATATCTGAGAGTTGAGCTCTGTTTTGAGAAATTACTATTGCAATCTTGGTTTCTTTAAACTTCATAAGCTGATTTTTTTTAAAATACCTGAAAATTCTCTACCTTATGACTGCTGCTTGCTTTAGGAAATTTTGGCATAGATGTTAGTGTAGTTATAGATGCTCATTCTTTAGAGCAAACATCTTCAATATCAGCAATATAGTTAGTTTGAAATCTTACTGTCCATTGAAATGAACAGGCAACTTAATGTTTTGTGGCTCCCCTTAACTTTAGGCCAAGTATGTCTGAATAGATTTCACCTGTTAGTTTTCCAGAGCCTTAGGGTTTTAGAGCCAAATCAAAAGCAATGAAAATGCTTACAAATAACTGAGAGGTAACTCTTTTTAGGCTTATAAACTTTTTTTTTCATAACTGTCCAAGGGAACTACTTTGTATTCTGGCAACAGGAAACAATTAAATAAATGTCCCAATCTTATGGATCTTCATTTTGCATGATGCCTTGCAGTGTATGTCTTTGACCAATTTTCAGATTTTTTTAAATTGGGAGGTTTTTCCTTAAGGTTCTTCGTGTATGAACTTTTACTCATTTGAGAAGTGAAGGTTAAAAGAAGACAATCTTTTTTACTCTTCTACAGGAGTGCATTATGTGGCCTCTAGTCCATCACCTTTTCCTTACAGAATGTACATTGAACTTCATTTTCAGATAGAAAGTTAAGATATATATGTACTTTCTGTTTTCTGAAGTTTTAAGGTCTCAACTTGGATTTTAATTCTGAGTGCATCCATCCAGAAAATAACTAAATTTGATGGACTTATTTTCTCTGGGTGGGAGGTTTTGTGTCTCATTGTTTGTGCTGAGTTGCAGAAGTATCTTTCTAAAGACAGTAAATTCTAAAGAAAACTGGACAGAGTAGAAAAATGGGAAAATTCTGAAGTTTTGTAAAATATTGGCAAACCAAAATATGCATTAATGGGACTGAATGGGTAAAGGAAAGAGACTTCAGGAACTGGGGGAGCTTATGTTCTATGTAAGTTTTTTCACCTTAAAAGATGAAAGACCTAATCCTTTATGCAGGACATTCATAAGTTTGTTCATCACCATGAAAAAAAAAAAAAATCTTTCCAGGAGCTTCAATTCCTCTATTCCCAGATTCATTCCATACAACCAGTCTACCATTATAATAATTTTCCTTGCTTTCATTTTTTTCTACCATATTGTCAGTTTTTTGTTTGTGTCTGTATCACACATTCTGCTTCAGTTTCCCTTTTCATCACACTTCTTCCACATGCACCCCTCACCCCTTCCATTTAGTAAAGTCTCTGACACTGTCTGCCACAGCATTCTTCTTAGGAAGCCGGCAGCTCATGGCCTAGGCAGGTGTACTCTTCGCTGGGTAA